TGGATGGCAGTTCGACCACCATCTGGGTTTGCTGTTCATCACACAGCTGGGGCAAGATGCACAACACAAGCCGCATGTGATACACAAATGAGAAATATTCAAAACTTCCACATCAATACAAATGGTTGGGCTGATATTGGATATAATTTCTGTATTGGTGATCCAGGTCAAGTTTATGAAGGAAGAGGATATGGTCGTCATGGAGCTCACGCACCAGGTTTCAATGCTCGTGCCTTAGGTCATTGCTTCTTTGGTGAACACACATCAGTCTTACCAACTGCTTCTGCATTAAGTAACACACAATCATTCATTGATTGCTCACGTGCACGTGGTGAACTTACATCAACACATTGGGTATCAACACACAGAAATGATCGTCAAAGCGCAACTGCTTGTCCTGGTAATGCTCTTTTCAACCAAGTCTCAACATGGCCACGCTTCAACTCAAACCCTTAAACATCTACTGACTACTCTATACCTTTTTGTGCATTTAACAGTATTAAATAAAGATTTTCTTCAGCAATTGCATGAGCAATTTGAAACGATATCATTAAAGTATCCATATAAATGTTCTGTGCTTGCTTTTGAAGGGAAAGTAATTTCAAACAGTGAGTTGTGGTGGTGGTTTGGGAAGTTGTGGCTTAAAAGGAGGAATTATAAGGAAATGATGACAAACAGACTCTAAAAGTCGTTCATAAATGATGCTAATGATACAATTGATTTCTAGACCCACTGCGTACAAAGTCAGACATAAAAAAATTATAACTAGTGTCACATGAAGACTTGTAGCCTACAGCGTATGAATTATACTCCGGAATAGGTCAACGACCCCCAAAAAAATCATTGACTTCTTCCGAAAGTTGTAGATCCAACAAGCCCCAAACAAGCTTTATAAAACCAAATTTTAACCAAAACTTCATCCCATTCCACCCACTCCTGCTCACAAGGAAACAAAATTACTTACTTCTTAATGTTCTGAGTTTCATTCACACAGTCATAATTCACTTTCTTCAAAACAGAAACCCAACTTCACAATGTGAGAGTTAAGAAGAATACAATAATGTATATTTATCGTACCAGCATGAGAAAAGTTATAATAATGTGAATTACTAAATGCTTCATACGAAATACACTCGTTATTGCTATTGTACTATTGCATTGCATTCACACCCATGTATGAATGAGTAGAAAGAAAAATGAATTTTAACGGAGTTGAATGAAAAGTTCGTCTATTGCTGAGTTTTTTAAATGTTGGTTAAATATTTGTATGATGATATATAGCAATGAAATATGTTCAGCTAGTATGGCACTCTATAATGCAAGGTTGATGTACATTGTGAGAATTTTATTCATTTTGAGTTGGATTTTTTTTATTTTATTTTTGGGAGAGATTGAAATGATTATAAGTTTGTGTGCTTGATAGATTTGGTATTCTTAGAACCTTAATCCTGTTTTGTGCTAGATCTGAGTCTGATCTTATTGGTGTAGCAACAATTCAAGTGTATCATAGCAAATAGATTCATTATCATTGTAACTCCATCTAGCTATCTCTCTAGCAACTCCACCCCTTGACTACTCACTTTAATGTACTGCATAAATTATTATTATTATAAACTATATTGATGCATTTTCTTTGAGTGTTTAACAATGAGACTCTTTTAAATTCTCATAGTGTAGAGTCATAAAAGTACAAATTGAGGAAACTTGTTCAATTCTTTAAGATATACACTTCTTTTAACTTAACAATGTAACCAAAATTGGGTCGAAAATGTAATATAAATGGAGCTGATATATTGCACTTGAATATTTCTTTTGTATTCTTGGTTGTGGCTGTGAGCAGAGTTGGTTTCTAGGCATATACTGTAGATAAGGGGAAATTGAGGTAGACAAACGAATATGAATTGAAAGAGTCTTGAATGTACGCTTATGACTACAGTATTCTTAAGATTAAGTTAGATCTGAGCTTGATCTAGGCTAGAGCCTTAGATATAGTCACCAAGCTTGAGAGGAAATAAACTACGCTCGTGTCAACTAATCTCCAACTCAATCTATAAGAAAAGCTAATGATTAGTTCTTTAATCTCAATAAAAATCAATAAATTTTTGCTAATTAAGACAGCAATTGTTCAATTCAATCCCCACAAAACAATTAAGCAACTCCCCAAAAGACAAAATCAACAACCACAAATTTCCGCAATTCAGCTCTTATCATTAAATGAATCTTTATGTTCTTCATAAAATTAATTTACTCGATAATATCAACAATCAATAAGTTTGTCAATCTCATGTGAGAATCTCAACTGACCTATGCACAGGAAGTATTTTGACAATCAGAAGAGACTTCTTACATGAAAATTACCATCCATTAGACAAACAACACATCAGCTCAATGAGATGAGCTTCACTTGAAAAATAAAAATTGCATTTTGGGTTTTCTTCAAGGGGATAACAACATGATGAGAAAAGTATTGATAGGAATTCAATCGATTTCTTATGGGCCGTTCACTTATGACGTCCATTAAAAAATGATTTTTAGACCCCCATCTCCCCCTTTGTCACAAAATTTCTGTAAAAAAATTCCTTTATTTGAGCTGTCACAAAATCCTAGACCCCCCCTCCTAAATGTTGGACGTCATAAGTGAACGGCCCCTTATCTTGATGGAGATTTTTCATCATGTTGTTCTCCCTTTGCCATTGCCCCATTTATCTTTATTTTGCTATTTTTTCATGAACTGATTGCAAGTGGATAATGGTCACTCTAGTCTACTTTAAGCATTTTGCAATATAATATGAGGGTAAATAACATTGAAATAGAGAACTATGAGAAAAAAAGGAAAGAAATTCAATAGTTTGAATGAAATAGGAAAGAAAAGGGGAACCGAAAAAAATATTCTTTGCTTTCATTTCTCAGGGCTATAATCATTGTTGATCTTATCTGTCTTAAGTCTCTATGTCCATTCAACCCACAGATTATATTCACAAAATTGGAAATTTTTTGTTTTTTTCTTCTCTATTTAACGATACAGTTTTAGGGGGATTTTTCTGTGCTGATGGAAATTAGAGTTGGTTTGTGGATGCACTTTGGCTTATTGAGCGAGTTTGGAGCAATGGATCAGTAAAATAATTGACTTCTCTTGGACGAAGGTGTCTTTCACTTTTCAAGCTTAAGTACAGTTTCCAATTTAATTTAGTCGACATCTGTCGATTACTTCCTTACTAAATCAGTTTTTAAAAAGTACAATTTGTATTTTTAAAGCGCCTTGACGTCCATAACACCTTCAGTAACTCCCAACTTCCCCATTTCTTCTTCTTTCTTTAATTTTTTTCTATTCTCATTTTTTCCATGTGTCTTTTTATCATACCAATCCCAATTCAAAGCTTTATATTATGGACACACACAAAAAAAATGTATAGGAGACAAGTGAGAGAAAAAGGTCACATTGAATGACACTATGAGCTGTTGAATTTAAGTGGCAAAATGAGATGAACCTCATTAAATTGTTCACCCTTTCCTATTTCCTCTTGTTCTTCTTTATCTTTATCTCCTCATTTTTGTGGCAGAGCAATTTTTTTTTGTATAAATAAAAAAGTTTTGTAAATTAAAATTCCACTAGCTGCTCTGAACAGATTTTTGAGAGAAAGAAGAAGATGATTTCAGATGCTGTGAGTGGCTGTCTAATGAAGTTTTGCGGTGGGTTTGTGATAAAAGATGGTCAGAGGTATAAAATTGTCAATTTAAGTTCTATTTTTTAGAATCTGTAGCTATAGGGACGTTCATTTATGATGCCAAATATTGTTCCTAGTTCCCTAATTTATTCCTAAAACTATTATCATCCAAACATCTTCAGAAAACTGAATTCAACTCGAATCTCCTTTATTAAAGGATAATAAAATGTTGTAGCTTTACTTTAGTAAGTTATAGTACCTTAAAAATTTTTAGCATCATAATTCCACCAAGCGCTTTGCTCCATTTCGTACAATGTTATACTTTGTAAAAAAAATCATAATTTTCAATTGTTACAAATTCTCTGGAATTGATCATTATCATACAATGAACAACCTAGAATAAATGTGGGACTTTTCATAAAAAGTGCTTACAAGAAAAACAAAGGATTAATAATTTGATGAGAGTGATTTACCCGACAAAAAAAAATAGGATGACCCTTTTGTTGTCTAAGCTATGTTATGGAAGTAGTATTAACAATATTATGAAAATTAAAATATAACATCTATGAAGGAATAGAATATTAATTCAATCTGGGACTCTGAGATAGGATAGGTAGGAGAGGCTAGTAGTGCGGATTTATTTTAGACCACACGCCTTTAAAAACAATATTCAAATTAAATATTCCTTAAATCTGAAGATTTACTATGTGAATTGACAACACTCTATATAATGATTGAGATCGGTCTTTGGTGGGAATCGAACTTAAGTCCTTACAAGAGAGGGTTACAGATATCCGGTCTGTAGCCAAACCACTCGCTCTATAGACGCCTAACTCTAGCATTGACAGATTCGCCTATATGTGGCTTCATATCCGAGATTCTACTTTGCTGAAACACTTCAATATCAGAGACGTAGTTAAAGATTCTGTTTAAAGCTAAGAATCTTGCGAGAGTCTGATGATCCATGGACCCTCTTGAATTTAAGGTTTATTATTATTGAATAGAAATCCACCAACAAGCTAGAGTGACTCTGGTATTGTGCTGGATTCGATTTGAGTCAAGCACCATGCCAGGCTATTCGATTAACCGACTTGTGTTGTTCGGGTATATATAGGTTGTTGTCAGCAGTTGTCAGAATCCAATTTAAGTAACAAATGTATTATACTTTAGTATTATTCTTATATGCTTATGTTCAAGTTCTCTCAATTTACTTTATTCGTGAAATAAAAATAGTTTCAGCAAAGGTCATCCAAATCTTTCTAGCTAATTCTCAGTATTTGTTTATTCTCTCATCATATGTTATACATTAGACTAATTTTTCAGACTTCTATATAAATGTATTGTAAGAATTTTATTGCTATCAGAATCAAAAACTCCGTTCAAGTGTCAAAATCTAGTATGAAATATTTAATATTCGTGATTATCATTGTGTTATCAGCTGTTTCTATTGTTCATTGCTGTCAAGGTCATCATCATTGTAATTCAGATGAATATTGTGACTACGAAACCAAAGAGTGCCTAAACGGTTGTCGACGAGATTATTACTGTGAACCTGACAAATATTGTGATAATGGTGAATGCAAAGTTGGATGTCGGAATGATACCAACTGTAATAAAAACGAATTTTGTAATTATTATAGTAGAAAGTGTGACAAGAAATGTCAAGAAGATTCAAGTTGCTACGAAAATCAATACTGCGACATCAATATTCAGCTATGTAAAATTGGATGCCGATCAGATGAAAGTTGCCAATCTGATGAATATTGCAATCAAACATCAAAAGAATGTATAAAAGGATGTCGATCACATGAAAGTTGCAAAGAACGAGAATTTTGTAATACATTCAAAAAGTGTGAGATTTTATGTTCAAATGATACACAATGTGAGCCAAATAAATATTGTGACTATGTTGATTCAAAATGTAAAGTCGGTTGCCAAACAGAATCTTGCAAAGACGATGAATATTGTCACAAATTAACTAGAAATTGCACTACAGGATGTCAATCAGATGAATCATGTAGCCTGGATCAATATTGTAACAGATCCACAAGAAAATGTACAGATGGATGCAGATATAACAAAGATTGTACAGCAGATGAAGTTTGTGATGATCATAAATGTAAAATTCGATGTCGATCACATAAAGATTGTGGATTACATAAGAAGTGTGATCCTAAAACACAAAAATGTTTTGATGGATGTGGATCAAATGAAAATTGCGAGTCTGGTATGTACTGTGATAGAAGTATCAAAATTGGCAACAATTGTAAAATAGGTTGCCGTCATGATGAAAATTGCAAAGCAAATGAAATATGTCATTGGACAAATCAATGTACAGTTGGATGTAGAAATGATAACTCATGTAAATCAAATGAATATTGTAAGTATGCTGTGTGTACAATCGGATGTAGATCAGATAAAAGTTGTGGTTCTGGAGAATTTTGTAGCTGCAACAACAAATGTGTAGTTGGATGCAATAATGACAATCAATGCGCTTCTAATCAATATTGCAATCTATTGTCATATAAATGTCGAACAGGATGTCGTACCAATGATAATTGTGAAAGAAATAAAATATGCGTTAATTCAACAAGAAGATGTGAAATAGGTTGTAGATCTGATGATGATTGTGAATCAGCTGAATATTGTTATGGAGGTAATTGTGTTCCTGGATGTAGATCAGATGAGTTCTGTTCAGAAAATGAATATTGCGAAGAAACACTCAACTGGATAAAATTATCAATTAATGGATCAAATGAAATTGACGAATGTAACAATACACGCACAATCTTTTATCCAACTCGGAACTGTAAAGTCGGTTGTGGTGAACATAAATGCAAGGAAAATGAATTTTGTCAAGGATGGAATAGACAATGTAAAATTGGATGTAAATCAGATGACAAATGTGAGGATGATGAATTCTGCTACTTTGGTAACTGCCGTAAAGGATGTCGAAGAAATTTAGATTGCGGAGAGAAAGGAATTTGTTTATATCCTGATGGAAAATGTTTAACTAAATGCACATACAATCTGGAATGTCAACCTAATGAATATTGTTGTCCTGGTGTTAATTATTGCAGAATCGGATGTAGATCACACGAAGACTGTCAATGGGATGAATATTGCAAAGTTAATCCACAGTCAAACATTGAAGCTCAAGAATGTCAAAATGGATGTCGTGATGATGATAGCTGTGACAATAATGAAATATGTAATTTGGGAACCAGAAAATGTGAAGCTGGTTGCGAAAAAGATAAACACTGTAAATCAAATGAATATTGTGATTCATGGAATAAAATATGTAAGATTAGACAGCATGTTAAAAAGTACCAACCTTTAGTATCATGTTGGTATGAAGGAGAAAGTACATGCAAACATGATCAGTACTGCGATTACAAGGATTTTAAATGCAAAGATGGATGTAGATACGACAATTATTGTAACAAGGATGAATATTGCAATAAAGCTACAAGGAATTGCACAAAAGGTTGTGCTGAAGATTCAAATTGTAATAAAAATGAAGTCTGCAATTTCAATACAAAACAATGTGAAATTGGATGTAGACGTGACGATCAGTGTAAGGATGATCAATATTGTGATATATTTGCTCTAAGATGCAAAGTTGGATGTAAATCTAATGATTATTGTGCATTAGATGAATTTTGTGGCATAAACACGCGAGAATGTAAAAAAGGATGTCGTGGAGATGAAAGTTGTAGCACCGATGAATATTGTTATATGCAGAAGCATCAATGCATAAAAGGATGTCGTGGAGATAACAGCTGTGGTCATGATGAGTATTGCGATATGTCTAAACGAGAATGCAAGAAAGGGTGTCGTGAACGAGGAAGCTGTTATTTTGGTCAAGCATGTGACAAAAAGACACGCAAGTGTAGATACAGATGCAATCGTTATACTTATAGTTGCGGAATGAATGAATACTGTGACTATTACTCAAAATTTTGCATGCCTGGTTGCATCATGAACAGTAAATGTGAAGATTATAAGTTTTGTAACTTTTCAAACCGAACCTGCATTGATGTCTGCGAAGGGAGTAACTGCGATGAAAATTCTAAATGTGTCTCAGAGAAGCATGTTCAATATTGCTCATGTCTTGAAGGATATTTCCCAGAAAACGGTATTGGATGCAGATTAAAATTAGAAAGTGATAGTTTTTCAAATAAAAATTGTTCATTGTATTGTGGTGCTGGGAGCAAGTGTGTATTTAAGCATAACAATGTGTATTGCCATAAATCAATGAAACAAAATAAAATGATTTCCTTGTAAAAACCAGGGCCAGTTTATTGATCAGAAACAAAACATACATTATTTTTCAGTGGTAGTCTTCATGTACATCCTGATTCAGATAGCTCTTTCAATTCAATCTTTACATAAAGTATCCTTAACAACTGAACTTAGGGTCCAAAACCAGAGCACTCTGTAGAATAATTTGTAAAAAAAAAATCTGTGAAAGAAGTGAATCTAAAAAATTACTAAAAAGCATGGCACATATTCATACGGACTCATACCTTCATAAATTTCATTGCATTGATGTTTAGACATGCCATCATAATCCTATATACTCATAGACACAAAACATCTCATTATAAATGAAAGAAAAATATTTAGCATAGACTAAGGGACAGGGGATATGTGATTATGATTATCTTATGCAAACCTCTCATCACATACATACATACATTTAATTTAAGAATACATCACTAACAATGCCTGTGAGTCTCGTTCAATGCAAATCTGCTTTTGAAAATTTCATATAAAAAACTATTAAAACTGTCATTTTCAACCTTCCATCCACACACGAGCCACAAAATTTATTTTAAGTTTCCCTCCTCTTTAATTTTTTTTTTCTTCTGTTTCTCTGGCTTTTATTTGCAATTAATTATGCATGTGCATGTGCTTAGACATATCCGAATTTAACAAAAAATAGAAAGAGAATGAGAGCCAACAGAAATGAGTCAGGCAATGCGAACATAAAGGTTAAATGAAGGCAACAGGATCATTTATGAAATGCGATAAACGTGTGCTGTTACTGAAAAAAAAAATAGAATAAAAGATGCGCAACATATGGGAAATGATAGGAATAGGATATTACGAGTCGAATACATTTCAATAGGGAAACATAAAAGTCTATGCTATTGGATGGGGTGCTGTTGTCTCATTGTATGATTATTTCCACCATGTGAAGTGTGTTATGAATGAATTTTTTTCCTTTCACGTGGATGTGATGGGGCAGAAGTCAGGCAATATTTGATCCGAAAAAATTTCCTATTCAGCCATCACATTTGAATACGTTCGGAAATATTTATTCAATATACTCCCAAAGTTTACAAGAAGTGTGCGAGGTTTTTGAATACAAATTATTTTTGAATGTTAAGGTCTTGATGCAAAGAAGCGGTTTGGTGATGTTAAGTCGTGTGTACACAAAGATTAAAGAAGATGTGTTCACAGAAATGCTAATACTTGGATTGTGGAAGATGTTTTGATGTTTTTATTTTGAGGGTACTTCTTGGAAGCACAAAGGGGTCCATTACCAGTTACAGTCAACATAACTGGTATTTTTTGACGTTTTCATATCATAGAATCTAATCAAATAACTAGCCAAAATCATCCACAGCCTTAACACTAGACGCAATAAGTTCATAGCCCCTTATATGACACATATTCATGACTCCTTAAGGATTGCCAGCTCAAATTCTAGTCATAAACTTCAAAAAGTCATTAATTGGCCAATCCATATCCCTACAGTCATTGATGTTTACAAAAATCGCATGCAATTAATCTTACAGCTTAATCCAATCACAAGTTGTTGCTTTCAAAATCGATTCCTATTCATAACAATCACCACGGAATCAGCACCGACCGATTCAGTGCAAAAACAATAAATCTTTTATGACTGAAAATTTGCTTCATATTTCATTCTCAATGTCTATAAACAACAAAATTTACTGCCATAAAAATTGGAATTTATAAGCAACAGGAATTCTTTTCTACACCAGAGTAATAAAATATTTTGTTTTTAATTAAAATAAATTTTTGTGCTTCCCGCCTCGTGCTTCGAATGAGCACTTTTTGTGTATGCAACATTTATTTTTAAATTCATTATGGTTGAAACAATTAAAGGTTATGATTTTTGTAACGGGACGTTCTCTTATGACGTCCTCCCTTACACAATCTCATGAGTCCCAACCAAGACAGAAGTATGTGTTGTTCTTCAATTTACAGTACGACATACAAAAATAATTTCAGTAATAAAGAAATATTCCTCAATATTATCATAATATTTACCTTCGCGTGACATTAAATTTACCTCGAGTATTTCATGAAGACTTGCAAAAACATCATCGTTGTTAGCATATAGTCGTTCATATACCTACTCTTAAAATAACATAAATGTTACTTATATACACATACGCTGATATTTACACTGACGATATTGTTATGGATTAATAAAGTTACGAAAAGAGTGAGAAGCTGCTTGATTATTGAAACCAGAGTACCGTAAAAGGTTGTGTCCCTTCCGCATATTGAAACATTAAAGAATTTTTTTTTTCTTGCGACTTAGTAATCAGGTCAATCCCTGTGATATCCCTACAACAAAGAACATTAACCTACATTCCGTCATATGTTGGATGTTGGATGTAAAAGGCTGTCGAATAAGTTGGAAAGTTCTAAGTAGGTTTTTAAGGCGCATTTTGGATGACTTTATTAAATTGGTGAATCATTTTATTGTAGCTAGGAGCTACTTTAAGCGAATTATTGGGTTCAAGAATACAGTATTAAACTTTTGTGATCACTGATTATTGATAATTTTTGATCAGTTCCAGCTAATAGACAGGATGCTGGGTTATAAGTCCAAAAACTATAAGTCCAGAGATTATAAGTCCAGAAAATCAAAGTCAATAAAGGTTTATAAGTCCAGATACAAATTGCACCTGGACTTAAAAACCTCTCGTGCAGTTTATAATTCCAGCTGTATCTGTACCTGGACTTATAAACTGCACGTGAGGTTTTTAAGTCCAGGTGCAATTTGTATCTGGACTTATAAACCTTTATTGACTTTGATTTTCTGGACTTATAATTGTCTGTGCACGATTTTTGTACCTGGATTTATAATCTCTGGACTTATAACCCAGCATCAATAGACAGCGATGTCCTCAAATGAATAGTTTGGATCAAGGATGTCAAACTAATCAAGTTGTCGAAAGCCAGTTAATCAGTTGCACAGCGATAGTTCGAATCCCACTTCAAACTAAAGGTCTAAGTATAAGTTCGGGAGTCTGTCTATCAAACGCTTGCTTTTACCCATTATCAAGCTAAAGTATTTCATGTAAATATTCATAATCATGAGCTCATTAACAAGACAGCCATCAATGTTAAATGTTCAACTCATAGACATATCAACTTCAAAACATTCCAACTTCATTTAATAGACTACTCCACGTAAACCTGAATGAATGAATAGGTGGATGAATGACAATGAAAGCGTGCTATATGTATATTCTTGTCAACATTCGGAACAGGGAAAAGGCTAATGTAAAATGTTTAATGATACGTTACGTTGCATTTTTTTACGATGCGGAAGATTTAAAGTTCTTTAAACAGTCAATGGATATGATATACAAAAAAAAGACTTCCCCTTCGCTGATCACATGAAGCGTAACATAAAGTGAATGAGTAAATAACTGTGCATACTTTTATGAAGGGGATGATTATGATGATGATGATTATTGTTTGTGATAGCACTGCAAATTTATGAGGGCTTACTCAATAATTTTTTCAATATACCTTCCCTTGTCTTTTTTTACGGTTCATTGTTAAATATGTTCACAGACACATTATCTTTATTCCTTATTATATTGATTTGCTATTAATTAATTACTTAATGGTTGAATGAATGAATGAGTTTGTAGTTCTTTTGAGCATATTTTAATTTCTCGCTATGTATTTAACGTGGAGTTAATTAAAAGTACATTAATCCCAATCCTTGCAAAAATATTTTAATGCACGGTCATTAACTGATTAAATGTTTTTAAGGTTTCTGATCAGAAAATCTATGTGATCATTATGTTCTGGCTTTAATGATGATGTTCTTGTAGTTTAAAGTTGAGAATAAGAGAATACTTATGAAAAGCAAATCAGTGACGTCAAGGTGAGCAATCGTGAAACTTAGAAGTGACAAAAATTCAGAAAAAACTCAATTTACTGTTTTCTAATACTTTAGCTGCATTTGATTGCCGTGAAGTTGTCAAAAAATGAGTGACAACGAAGAAAAGGTTAGAAAACAATCACCAAAATCTGAATTCTAAGAATCTCCACAAAATCGTTCATTTCAATGTGTGCCGGGCCAGTTTATAATTATTTATGCACTGTAAATTGTGCAACATTCCAAACTCAGTGCCAATGTATTACTCTGAATTTTTTTCTCTGTACAAAAAATGTTCAGCATCACACTCAATTTGCAGCTACAATTCTTTCAAGTTACAACATCAAAGAAAATTGTTCTCACTTGGTTTTAACTTCTTTGAAATTACTAAGCATAGAATCTCGTCCACAATCATTTTATTCATTTGATTAAATTCTTGCTATTTTTAATCAAAAGCATTAAAAGTAGAACATTGAGACTCAAGTCAGATTTGATTTAATAACTTTTAAATTGTTCACTTTAATGCCTTTTGAATCGAAAAATAATTGAGAGAGGAATTTGGTAGTCATGTTTGTTACAAGGAGGATAGTCACATGAATTTAATAAAGCACACTGTTTGAAGTAAATGGGTCACTTTGATTATGTAAGGATATATCCATCAAAACTGCAAACCTAATCGACCACAGAGCATTTAAGTTGATAGTTTACATAAAATTAAGTTAAATCCATTTCAAAGACGATGTAAAGTTTCTTCCATATACCTTTGCCAAGTGGCTATACTATCTGCTTTGCTGTCTTGTGGACAACATTCAAGTTGTGCTGCTCGGATATGAAGCATTTCATATTAAGTATTTTATTAACTTTTCGACACTATTGACAACAGAAAATTTCAACAGGAACAATAAATAAAAATTCTAGAACAAAATCCTCAGATATATTTAAAGAACAGCACTCGATCTACATGCTATGCTTTGTACAGCTCCTCATAGAGAAAAAAAATAAGTCATTGTTACATGATTTTCACTTATTTTTTCTTCATAAAAATAAATCATTCCTCTTGTAATATATTCACTTGACAATCAATTTTTGTACGCTTTGTTATGAGCAACTCTAGCAACAGCTACGACGGTAAAAGAGGAAAAAAAATTATTTTCTAAAGAGCTTTTAATGTTAAATCACGATGATTATTATTGTCACATCACAAAAATGGAGAGAAAGAAAATTGAAGTGAATAAAAATGTGCAGTTTTGTATACTGGAAAAGTTGCTGTGCTGTTAAAGAATAAAGTCATGAAAGTCACACACAAAAAGCACTTGAAATAATGAGTCGTTGTGCTGCATCGAATAACGATATAATCTTCTTTCATCGTTACTTGCAACAATTTTTATTTTTAGTTCATAATTTTCCACTTTAGTTTTTTGTTAAGTAGATTTTATGCTGGATTTTAGAAACTAGGGGGTTTGTGGATGATTCATAATGTCTATAAATTTATAAGCGAGTGTTAAGAATTCAAACAAAATTATTTGGAAGCAAAAACTGAATTCAGGGTTTATTACGAATTGCTACTAATAGTTGAAGTCTCTCAATAGCTTACTTTATTAACCTTTAGCTGAATAGTTTGCAATATCAACATAAAAGAGTTCGAGCCCTATCATAAATTATTTGCTTAGGAAAAGTAATGAAACTGGTTTTCTGCAGCTTAGACGTGATGATTTTAATAGCTACCTTAATAATGGAGTGGCTTAAACTAGTATCTAACGGCACACTAGCATGTTGTGTCGCTAATAATTTAAAATGAAGTCATTTGTGTCTAATGAGATTACTTGAAAAGTTGTTATATATTCCTTCACTATTTAGGACATAAATCAAGCTCTGCTCACTCTCAACTCAATCCTCAACACTCTTAACTGAATGAAACATTTAATTATGACATTTTAAATAAGATTATTCTCTTAATCCTGACTAAAGCTCTTTAAACCTTTTAACAAATGCTCCACAAGATCATGATTATTTACGACAGCTTCCAAACAGACAACGCTAAGCAGAGGCTTGCCCCAAAGCATTTTACACTTGCAAAGTATTTTTGTGCTTCTGTTGCTTACAAGTTTAACGCTGTTGAACGTGAAATAAAGAAGAATTTTATGGCTGAAAACTAAAATTTTTGTTCTCTTGTGTAACGAAACAATTTTCAGAAAAACAGTTCTTTTATATTCGTGTTTCTACTTCATTCCTTCCTTTCATGTCTCAAGTATTTTTCAGGGCTTTTGAATTCTATCACGAAGAATTTGAAACTTGTAGCTCGCAGAGTTAAAAATCTCCACTCAATAAAAATATGTACAATTTTTTTTTTGTTTCTCAATTCAGTTACCATCCGAACAAGTAAACATTAAGCACCCGCAGTGAGCGAGAGCATATTTATAATATTGTTGATGTCTATCGAAACTACTTTATTTTACCCTTCATACAAACTGCTACTGCTGCTGCTATATATACATTATATGCTATGTATGAGACGGGATCCCATTAAACAATTAAGCCAATTGAAATCAATTAAAGAAATGATACAAATACCTACAGAGAGCGAGAGCAGAACATGTTGTTTATTTTTTATTCGTTCATCTTTTTTTTATATTTTTTGTTCAAGAAGTACACTTTAGTATTCAGTGAATGACGTTTGTTACTGACTGTCGCTGTGTATTTTTTTTATTATTTCACTTCTTTATCATCCTCATCATCATGAAAGCGTCGTGTTTTTTTTTGTATTTATTTCTTTTGTTATTTGTTCCTCTTAAAAGTAAGATTCGTACAAGATTCTTGCTTATTTTGTAGGTCTCTACTGTGCTTATAATTTTATGTTTATTCTCAGCGACAAATGTCGTCATGTTTTTTTAAAGACAAATACGTGCAATACTTCACATGCTCTGATCGCTGCAAATTAGAAATTCGGAAATCAATTTGCTCGAATAAATAATCAGTGGCATGGCAATGATTTGTTGGCTCTGTTATAGATTAAGATGCATAAAATGTCTTTAGGTCTTTGAGGCATCAAATGAGAATCTATAAAATAACGCTTTAATGGCTGCATCACGTTTTTTGTCGATCGATATAGAATCGAATCAGATGTGAATCTTTGATTTAAGGAAGAAACTGAACTTCTCCGTTAAATAACTAAGTTGGTCATGCACTTTAGTTTCTATCTATTGTCTTTCTTCTTGTCTACTCCATCACAGATTAAATTACGTCTGGAAAATCCCAGTTTCATGTGTAATCCTGCCTTTATCATAAAATTTGAGATTTTTTTATTCTTCGAAGTGATCTTTTGTCACCAGAAATTCGTTCATGCGTCAATTGAATAATGCGCTAAATTTTTTAAGGGGAATTGGCACTTTCTTGATGTCATAATCACTCATAAATAAGAATTTGTATTACATGCCCAAGTAACCAAAATGTTTCATATAATCTTCCTTCGACGTCGATGGAAGATCAAATGTATCATTATTTATTATATGTAAAATGTTTATTTTAAAAATATGTAACAACAAAAGTGTTCCTTTGAAGTATAACCCGAGCCCGCTTAGGTTCAAATCCTACGAAAAATCGTCAAAAAAATATTTTTTGCAGGAAAATAATATTTGTTCTAAATCTGGCATTTGCCATATACTTCACAATTGCTCAAAGAAATCACTATTATAAGTTCTCTCTAAATTAATATAAGTCTTTTAATTAATTATTTATTTTCCTCAAATTGTATGCGAGTCTTGGGCGTTCATCAGTATGCGACTTAATTAAATTAAGTTATTTTGTTCTTTTTCGTAGTGTTAGTGCACTTTAATTAAGTACACACTAACACTTTTACAATAATTTACACAAATAAAAGAAAAATACAAAAGAACACGTGGAATTTAGCACGTGTTTTATCAGAAAAAAAGTAATCCATTTGTTTTCCATTTGTATTCCTTTGATGTATTACATTGATGTGTTATTGCATTGTCCATTTATCTTCCAATTTCATAGGACATCATCTTCCGATGGATAATACATGGATAATACATATGTATCATCAATGGAAGATTCTCATGGAATACATTGATCTACCTTTTGGATACTTGGGATATTAGCATTCTTTATCATTTATAATACCTAGATTAGTTTTAAAGTGCAATTTAAAGCATTTTTGGTTTCGATCATAGTAGGCTATTTTCAAAAAAATATCGATTTTATATCTATATTAGCATTCTTTATCATTTATTATACCTTGATATGTTTAAAAATGCAATTTAAAGCATTTTTGGTTCTGATCATAGTAGGCTATTTTCAAAAAAAATATCGATTCTTTATCTATATTAGCATTCTTTATCATTTATTATACCTTGATATGTTTTAAAATGCAATTTAAAGCATTTTTGGCTTTGATCATAGTAGGCTATTTTCAAAAAAAATATCGATTTTATATCTATATTAGTATTCTTAATCATTTATAATAGGTAGATATGTTTTAAAATGCAATTTAAAGCATTTTTGGTTTTGATCATATTAGGCTATTTTCAAAAAAATATCGATTTTATAACTATATTAGCATTCTTTATCATTTATTATACCTAGATATGTTTAAAAATGCAATTTAAAGCATTTTTGGTTCTGATCATAGTAGGCTATTTTCAAAAAAATATCGATTTTATAACTATATTAGCTAGGGGTTCTAAAATTGGGAATATTCCCGGGAATTCCCGAAAATCCCGTTCTCGTTCCCGTTTCCCGAAAATCTGTCGGGAATATTCCCGAAATTCCCGTTTTCATACCAAAAAAAAATACTTTATAAAAAAACTTTTTAAAAAAACTACGTTTTTCGCGTAGACTAAAAAGTAGAAAATAACTTTTATTCTTGGTTGTAAAGAATTTGGTTTTAAATTTTCAGATTATATTTAATAAATTTTTATATCCTAGTCAATATTGTTCACAAAGTTTCGAATAAGTGCATTTTGATCTTATCGTATAACTCAACAACTTAAAAACGTGGGCGCATTATAAGAGGAGAAATAAGTTTATGTAAAATCAATACTTTATGATAAACTTAAATTAATGCGCCCACGTTTTTAAGTTGTTGAGTTATACGATAAGATCAAAATGCACTTATTCGAAACTTTGTGAACAATATTGACTAGGATATAAAAATTTATTAAATATAATCTGAAAATTTAAAACCAAATTCTTTACAACCAAGAATAAAAGTTATTTTCTACTTTTTAGTCTACGCGAAAAACGTAGTTTTTTTAAAAAGTTTTTTTTATAAAGTATTTTATTTTCTACTTTTTAGTCTTATTCTAATGCAATAGAGAAATAAAAATTATAGGGGGTTTATAGGTTACAGGTGTGTTGAACTCCACTTCGTTGCACTTCGTTACGTTCAACTGTTTATAGATTACAGTAGGTTTATAGGTTACAGGTGTGTTGAACTCCACTTCGTTGCACTTCGTTACGTTCAACTGTTTATAGATTACAGTAGGTTCATAGGTTACAGGTGTGTTGAACTCCACTTCGTTTCACTTCGTTACGTTCAACTGTTTATAGATTACAGTAGGTTCATAGGTTACAGGTGTGTTGAACTCCACTTCGTTTCACTTCGTTACGTTCAACTGTTTATAGATTACAGTAGGTTTATAGGTTACAGGTGTGTTTAACTCCACTTCGTTGCACTTCGTTACGTTCAACTGTTTATAGATTACAGTAGGTTCATAGGTTACAGGTGTGTTGAACTCCACTTCGTTTCACTTCGTTACGTTCAACTGTTTATAGATTACAGTAGGTTTATAGGTTACAGGTGTGTTTAACTCCACTTCGTTGCACTTCGTTACGTTCAACTGTTTATAGATTACAGTAGGTTCATAAGTTACAGGTGTGTTGAACTCCACTTCGTTGCACTTCGTTACGTTCAACTGTTTATAGATTACAGTAGGTTCATAAGTTACAGGTGTGTTGAACTCCACTTCGTTGCACTTCGTTACGTTCAACTGTTTATAGATTACAGTAGGTTCATAGGTTACAGGTGTGTTGAACTCCACTTCGTTTCACTTCGTTACGTTCAACTGTTTATAGATTACAGTAGGTTCATAAGTTACAGGTGTGTTGAACTCCACTTTGTTGCACTTCGTTACGTTCAACTGTTTATAGATTACAGTAGGTTCATAGGTTACAGGTGTGTTGAACTCCACTTCGTTTCACTTCGTTACGTTCAACTGTTTATAGATTACAGTAGGTTTATAGGTTACAGGTGTGTTTAACTCCACTTCGTTGCACTTCGTTACGTTCAACTGTTTATAGATTACAGTAGGTTCATAAGTTACAGGTGTGTTGAACTCCACTTCGTTGCACTTCGTTACGTTCAACTGTTTATAGATTACAGTAGGTTTATAGGTTACAGGTGTGTTGAACTCCACTTCGTTTCTTTCCGTTACGTTCAACTGTTTATAAATTACCAGTTTTCAATGGGAAATTAGTAACGACTTTCAAAATTTTTCATTCGTTTTATAAAATTTAATTTTTTTAAAGCATTCATTAGTAAAGTACATTAAAAATCACTCGTAAAGATTTTGTGTTTATCTGTACCATTTCTACTTCATAACGTGTGGATTCTTACTATAAAGATGCAAATCACATATGTAACGTATTTATAACGGATTTTCAAATTTAAATTCAATGAATATCATTTATATGTTATGCAAAAATACGTCAAGCCGTTAATAAAAAGAAAAGTCAATTTAATTAAGTTGGTGAAGTGTTATAAATAATGCAATACATTTAAAACAGCATAAATTTATGCTCAAACTATGTGTGTTAAATGCACATCGCATATTAATAGTTATTTTGCATTAATTCGTAACGGACTTGTGCTTAACGGTTTTTTTGAAAATTCAAATTTTCACTTACGAATATTCATGAAAAAATTACATGTCAATTTTTTTGTCTTACCAGAATATCTTTAGCTGCTCAAATTTATGGTATAATTAATAATGAGTAATATTAATTAAACTATAATGAATCATATAAATGACTTTAGAGCATCAAAAGTATAATATTTAATACAAATCAAAATTTTATATCATTGACATTGGATTTTTTCCCATATAAAAAAGTTTTACATAAATTGTACTATAATTAAGCATTTTTGTGTTTCCAAAGTGTTAAAATATTGTATTGTCACCGGGAATACGTGTGCATTAAAAATTTAAGCTCGTTTGGAGCAGTAGAAGTGGTCGAAAAATCGATTACAAAAGTACGAAATTTTGCGGACAATCAATCAATCAATCAATCAAACAGATAAGAAAGCAAGTTAAGAAAAACGTAGTAAAAAACCGACAATTCAAATTAGTTTTTTTTTATTTTGTATTTTCCATGAAAAAACTACAATATAAAGAAAAAAATTATAATAATGCAAACATACGTTAAGGAATTTAAGAGTTGAAATATTAAACTCAAATTTGAGTGTCCATCAAGTAGAACGGTGACCTAACGAATTGAGTGATGGACTATATATGGGTTTTTTGTGCTATTTTGTGAAAGCAGAAAAATAACTTTTTTAAATTTTGTGAAGTTGCCAGTTCTGAGATATGAGCATCTGAAAACGGAGCTAGGGCCGATTTTTTACTTTTAACACTTTCGACTGTAAATCTGACAAGGCTTAACGAAAATTGTTTAAACTTGGTCAGTAATTTGTGTAAATGTTTTTTAATCAAATAAAATAAACGAAATATTTTTATCTAGCCTAACCGTTCTACTTGATGGACACCAAATTTGATGTTTTTTAAATCAAAAACATATATTTATGAAAAACGAAGAGAAAAAGTATTTAAAAATATTTTTTAAATGTATGATGTCCATAAAAAAATAAACTTAATTGACATTGGATTAAAGTAATTTTTCCAAAATAAAAAAACGTGCTTGAAATTAATATTTCTGGAATCCACCAACATCTACAAGAGCTCAACGTAACTTTTCAATCTCCAATAATATTGTCTCAAAAATCGCAGTAGATTGCTAGCAGTTAAAATCGTAGGGTAAACCATGTTAAAATTTGTGCAATGTTGAAATTTGTGCGCTCACATAAAAAAGAAATCAGCCCAAATAAGTTATTTAAACCAAAATTTTGTTTGCAGCTCTGTGTAAAACGGTTCTACAAACATTTTTACATCATTTTGAACAGTCTCGAAGCTTGGAGCAGCTTTAAATTTGAAAAATTTAAAATCTCATACAAAATTGTGATTTTCATATTTATAAATATTTGGACATAACCAGTGCTGCTTGTAATCAAATCACAGTTTTAATATAAAATTTGATAATTGCTTTACTTTTTCAAAAGAAATTCAAGTTGTAAAAATCATTGGAAGTGCTTTAAAAATTGATTTTAAAATTTCTTGATTGTAAATGGGCAAATCCACGAAGCTGTGGAATCACAAAAAATCGCATTGTAATTATTCCTCTACTTGGTTAAATTTTTTTTGAAAAACAGAAAACCGTTATTATTTGTTTACCGTTTTATTGAAAATAAACTGAAAAATTAATTTAAAGCACAGTTAATATTATTTAAAAGCCATTAAAAGGCATCGGAAACATCCATTTAATTAAAACTTAATTAATTATCGAAAATTGAATAAGATTTGAGCTCGTAAATGTCACAAAAATTTAACGGAAAGTTTTAATTCAAATATTTTAACGGTTATAAAAAATTTGAACTAGTATATTTTGGTGGCAAAGCGTTTTGTGTGACTCAGGAAGAAAATTTTCAAGAAATTAATTAATTTCTCAGCAAATTTCCACTGAGCATCTACATTTTGCTTAATTATATGATGCTCCAACATGAAAGGAACAGATCTTGTTGATCAATGTCGCTTAAAAACTTATATTTTTTGAGATAATTGAATTTTTAGATGTTTTCCGCTAAAATGTGACTCAGGAAGATTTACAAAAAGTCAAATTTCTCTTTAATTAACGATTATAGAGAAGCAAATTTTTTTTAAGATCTTCTACTCACATCATTGCATTTATTAAAACATTCAATCTTTTTTTAATAATGTGACATAAGAGAGAAATAATTACTTTAAATTGAAAAATTTTGGAAAAAAAAAATTTTTGTTTCGTGGATTTGCCCAAATGTTAAAATTTGTGCGAAATTTTTTTACAAATTTTGAAATTTGTGCGCTTTTTGTCGTAAAAAGCGATGGGAATTTTTGTCAACAACAAATATTATATACGTATGAAATTCATGTTTTTATAGGATTTTACGAAGAATAGCATAAATCGAACTACTGAAAGTCAAACACTGATAACAGCTGATAAAAATGAAAAACGTGGATGCAAAAGACTTCAAGAATATCCATACATTCAAAAAGGATATCCTGTTTAGTGTTTAATTTCAGATCTTTAAATAAAAACATTTTGATTTTCTAATTCTCATCTTTTTATTGTTAAAACTCTATGCTGCATAAATTTTACAAAAAAATGGAGGAATTGCTGATTTAATGGATGTTCCTTTGACGGTTGTAAACCCAGTCAGCTCAAACTGAGTTAAATCTTGAATCTTGCATTATATCTTGAGGTTGGTTTGAAACAAATCAGCTTTATGTTCTTAATTTCATTTAAAGTTTATTCAAAGTAGTTCCTTCAGCAAAAATATCAATTTCTGTTCCAAAAATATGTAAATAAAATGTTTGTTTACATTTAAGAATTGCAATTATGTCAAAGATTGTTATCAAAAAAACGCACAAATTTCAACATTTTTTTCGCACAAATTTTAAAATTTTCCGCACAAATTTCAACATTTGATCGAAAATGTTAAAAATCTCTTCCCATAAGCAGCATATCCTTCAAAAAACATTATTATCTGAAAATTCCCACAATTGTTGATCTTTTGAGCCCATTAGCAAATTTTCATCATCAGTCATTAGCAAGTTATTTGCAAATCAAATCTTCATGTGCAAAAACACACAAATTTCAACATGGTTTACCCTACTTTAAAAATTGTTCTAAAACCAAAAAGAATTGAATTTCAAACGGAAATTATTGTCAAAAGAATCAATTTGACAATCAAATCAAATAGAATTTAAATTTGATTTAAAAACCTAAATAAAAAGCTTTTAAAATTTTGAATTAATACTATATATTTTTGATAATTTTCGATCATATCCATCAGTTCCACATCCATAGAACAATCCTGTTCAGGACATTGAATCATTTCAGGATGAATAAATACCAATTCAATAAGGGCAATTCCACAATGATTCAGATTTGAAAAAAATGTTCAAAAATTCCTTGTGCATAATATTTTTTAGACACATTGAAGTATTGAAATTCTTTCTTGATATTCTCTAATTTAGGACTTTTAATACCTTTAGTTTTACTTAATTATTGATTCCACAAAATATTAAGTCATGAAATTGAGCATAAATAAGTTTTTTTTACAAAGTCTACAAATGTTTATCAAAAAAATTGGCGCACGACTGAAATTTGTATGAAAAATTATTTAATTTTCAATCGCAAATATCTCGCTTCGGGCATATTTGGGCATGTCCACATTAATATGGAAGGTTAATTAGACTATGATCTTCAGTTTTTAATAGGTTTGGGAGACGCGAATTTAACTTATGACTGTTTAAAGTCTTGCAAAATTTCATAAAAATTAAGCGTAAATATTCGCTTAATTAAAAGGTTTTGCTTTGGGTTCTACACTCAAACATAAAGAATTAAGCTTATTTGAGTTAATTATAAGCATTAGAAAGAAAAATTAGAAGTGAAAAGGAGAAAAAATTTAAGAAAAAAATTTGTTGTCATTTTGTAAACAAATTTATATTAATCTTAGAATCGAAACTTTGTGAGTTACACAACATTTTGTAATGAGATATTTTTATAGAACATAAAACAACTCATGTTCTTCAATTTTGCATTTAAAACATATAGTTTAAATAACTTGTTAATAATTTTTGAACAATTTTTTCAAATCTGAATCATTGTGAATTCCATGAAATAGTTTCATTGTTTACATTTAAGTTTGATCCAAGTCTATTCAGTATGAAATATTAATTTTCAAATATTTCTTTGTACTCTTATTTTCTTAATGTTTTACTCATTACTCGATTGTGTTACTAAGTAACGCCAAAAGAATTGAAATAATTCTTTAATTAACCACTTTAAGCAAGAAAATTTCAGTCCATTAAGTAGAAAATGATGTTTTAAATGGCCTACGAAAAGCTTATTTGCAGTAGAATAGTCTAAAGATGTAAAAAATCAATATGGAGAAAAATTTGTACATAAATCGTTTAATGGAATCGCCCATAAGCTATTTACGGGAACTTTGAAGAAATACCGTTTTTTTTTCAAAATTTTACCGAAACAAGATAATTAAATTCAAAATATCCGTTAAAAATGCTCAATTGTAAATAAATGTAAACAAACGATTGAAATTGACATGAATAGGAGCTGAATACACCCTTAGTTAACGACAGAAAATGTGAATTCACAATCAGTCAAAAAAGATCAAATTTCTCAGCAACCTTTGACTTTCGATTTTTTCACAATTTTCTTCAGTTTAATTCTTTAAAGACGTGTTTTTAAATATCGTTGCAAATCGGTGCAAATAAATTGGAACTTGACATTATTAATGCTTAAAAAGAAGTGGAGTTCAAGATAAAAGTGATAGTGAAGTGCTAAAATGGAAACAAC